GTACTTCACCACGGGAGGCAACCGCGCCTGCTTCCTGTACTGTTGGACTACCCACGCAAGCACCAAGACCGACCACGTCACCACCACCGCCATAATGCATTGTCGCAGTATCGACGTCGGACTGCATCCTCAATTCGATATCGAAAAACTGCCTGAGTATCGCCCAGATCCGCGTGGTAGCACCAGCTTCACGCCGCAATTGGATGAGAAGACGTCGACTTGCAGCGTCTACGTCCCAGCTTTACCAGGCAGCACCTTCTGGATCGAATATGCTGTGTCGCCGCCAGTCCCCGAAGGGCACTATTTCCTGTTCAAGCTGTACATCAACGGCGCGCACGTCGTGAGCTGGTCGACGGGCAAGGATGAGGAATGGCAGGGCAAGACTATGTTCGGTCTATTCGAGAGCCCCGGGGATGACAGCGATAAGAAAAAGTTCGAGAAGCGGGTGCTTTGCTTTACAACAAAAGACGACGTAGATGCATTCGACGAGACCGCGCGCGTCGAGATAAGAGTACATCGTGCACATGGACGGAAACGAGTCGAACGACAGGCAGAAGAGTACAAGGAAACGGAGCACGCAAAGACTGAGACTGGGATAGGGTAGGTGCCCGACAGGACACGCACGTACTATGCTAATCTCAATAGCCTTGTAAACGCTGGGCCTGCGGGACCACAGCATCCGAAGCGCTTTTACAAATTCGCCCTCATCGACCCTATCGATCAGCCTTTTGCGACATTCCGATATTACTGCCGCAGCTGGGATCAACTGCGCGATTTGGGGCTGCTTGATCACAATCGTGGTGTTGCTGGCGAAGAGAACGACCTCCCTGTGATAGAGCCGAACGAAGGCGGTGGTACCGATGAAACCATCGAGGGCATAAGGGCCTGTAGCGCCATGAGCAGGGATTCGGAAGATGTCTTTCAGGACTGCAAAGACAACTTTGATGGACGAGCCGCGAGTGCTACAGGCATACGAGGACAGACTAGGAGTTCGTCAAGCCCTACTCGATCCACATCAGCGGGGAGGCGGAACCCCTTTACCCACAGAGCGTCACTACGTCTGGTGAGCGATACAGAGCAGCCACGCGCCTACATCCCACGCGGTGCACCAGGCCCGAAGGCAGATCTGGCAGTTGATCATGTAGGGGAGAATGCACAACAGCGCCATGGCATTGTCCGCACACCGACCCCGTTCTACCGGCTCTCCATACCACCGTCTATCAGACTTGGGCCGCCAGAACCAGCTTCACGGCCTCTTACTACGCTTCCCATCAAGAACGACTTCGAGACATCCACGTCATACCACCCGCATCCTGCGTATCCACTCGACGACTGGACTGTGCGCACTCCCAGCCCCGTCAAATCGGTTCGGGACGGCATATCCACTCCGCCGCCGTTCAAGCGCAGAGAGCAAGGTCGGTCGGCTTCTGCATTGATGAGCGTGATTGCATCTGCTTGGAAACGTCGAGGATCACAGACGCCAGATGAATCGCTGCGAACAGTCGCCACGGAAGATGCGCAGAGGTTGCTGTGATGTTTGGCGCGTGACAGAGCCGCGGTTGGCAGTGTGGTTGCAAGTGCTCTGAAGCGAGCACGTTGACATTGCGAGATTGGAGCATAGGATGAGGCTGAGAGGTCGATGGCTTGTCCCTGAGAGCTTCTGATGCTGCTGTACGCTACTCAATCAACATTTGAGATGTCATGAGGTCAGGACGCGTAAGATGAAACGTGGGACGATTGCCGATCGGCACGATGATGCAAGGCACCACGCCGTGATTCGCTCCTCCACAACCCCGCAAACTGCAGCTGCCTCGAGCTTCCATCCCAGCTGACAGCTCCAACACTGTTGCGTGCTTCATGCTTCTTTGCGTATACAATAGCCCATAACTCATGATTTCGTCATTATAGCGTCGAGCATATTCTTTTGGTATCGACCTTGCGACGATAGTCCTTCAACTCCACCATGCGTCCCTTTACTGTCGCAGCTGCGGCGCTCCTAGCAAGCGTGGTAGATGCGTCGACTCTCCAACCACCCGTCCTTCCGTTGATCGTGCGGAACCCATATCTGAGCACATGGCTGCAAAACGCAAGGGAAGAGCCATGGAGCAAATGGCCCATGTTCTGGACTGGATCTGAGGTTGGCTTCAGTGTCATGGCGTCTGTCCCTGACACGAACGAAGTCTACCCTTTACTCGGCCGACCTCATGATTCTCTGGAGCAAAAGGACAAGGAGTATGTTTACTCTGACCTCTCGCAGCGCAATCATTGCTAATTCCTGCCTGTACTAGTTACGCGATAGCATACCCTATATACCGGGGTGCTAAATACGACGCGTCGACCACCAACCTTACGTACTCGATACCAGCCCCCGATGCACTCCGCTCAGCGAAAGACGTAGAGATCACCTTGTCCTTCCTCTCACCCATCACACCGACCTCGACTTTGCGCCAGACCATACCGGCAGCATACCTGTCTATACACGTGGAAGGGACGTTCGATGTCAACATATACGTGGACGTGAACGGACAGTGGGTCAGCGGCAAGAGGGAGAGCCTGATAGAATGGGGCTTGTTCCAGCATGTCGCGCCGGGTCTGAACGATAAGCTGAAGACGTGGCAAGTCAAGCGACAGGTTGAGCAGCTCTTCACCGAGACGAACGATCAGCCCGAGTGGGGTCAGCTGCACTTTACTGGGCCAGTCGATGCGCGCCATGAATCGGGCACATCCGCGCTCTTGCGCCAGCGGTTTGCTCGAACCGGAACGTTGCAGAACGAGGTCGATGGGAACTTCCGCGCCGTCATGGATGAAGAGCCCGTGTTTGCATTTTCGAAAGCCTTCAAGTTGGCAAACTCTTCCACTACCGGCTCCAAATCCAGCAGCAACAGTGAGAGCGTGCTGTTCACGATAACCCACATCCAAGATCCGGTCACACAATATGCATCTGCTCGCGGTCTTACGTTCATGCGGCCGTTGTGGAAGTCCTGGTTCCCTCAAGACGACAAGCTCATTCAATTCCATTACGGCGATTTCGCAATGGCCAAAAGCCTCGCTGGCAACTACTCGGAGCAGCTGCGCATCGATGCCTATCAATCTGGCTCGACGAACTACGTGGATATCGTTGCCTTGTCTGCACGACAAGTCATGGGTGCCACGAGCTTCTCCGGAACCAAAGACAACCCGTTGCTCTTCCTAAAAGAGATCTCCTCCAACGGCAACAGTCAAACAGTCGATGTCATCTTCCCGGCTTTCCCGTTCTTCCTGTACACGCAACCTAGGTGGTTGGCATATCTGTTGGAGCCACTTCTGGAACACCAGCTATCCGGCCAGTATCCCAACAAGTACTCGATGCATGATCTTGGCGCACACTTCCCTAATTTGACGGGACATGCCGATGGACGAGACGAGTACATGCCTGTTGAGGAGTGTGGCGATATGCTGATCATGGGTCTGGCACTGGTCAACTCGTTAAGCTACAACTCCGACGCACAAGCTCAGTCCATCTGGTCAGCTATCGGCAACGACGCAGACCGTAGTACTGATGCAACCAACGCATTTTCTCTGAACGGCGTCGGACTGCACGACGGAGTTGACTACATCGATGAGACTTGGGGCGGAAGCACCAAAGGCATTGACCAAGCGAAGAAGTGGCTGGAGGGCAGCTATGACCTGTGGAAGCAATGGACGGGCTATCTTGTCGAAGACGCTCTTGAGCCTCACAACCAGCGTAAGTATCGACCCGCTATATTTCGAAATACAAGCTAACGCGTATCATAGTCTGCACTGATGACTTCGCTGGCTGGCTGCCACTTCAAACGAATCTTGCCTTGAAGGGCATTGTCGGCATCAAAGCCTTCAGTGAGATTGCTGACCTCATGGATCGTCCTGGAGATGCAGAGCACTACCGCAACATTTCAGAGACGTACATCAAGAAGTGGCAAGAATACGGCATGTCGCGCGATGGTACACATGCCAAACTCGCCTACGACTGGTACGGCAGCTGGACCACTCTATACTCGCTTTACGCCGATGCCGTACTCTGCTTCCACCCCACCATCACAAACTCGTCTTCTATCTCAGAACAGCCAGATTACGCATCTGGAAACGATGAAGCGCAGAGGCCTTTGTCGCCTTCTAAGCACTCCTCCGGCCGCGAACCCATCACCGAGGATTTTATCCCAGACAAAATCTACAACCTCCAGAGTGACTGGTACTCCACGGTGATGCAGAAATACGGTCTTCCCCTCGACTCTCGTCACTTGTACACCAAGTCCGATTGGGAGTTCGAAGCCGCTGCAGTTGCAAACAAGAAAGTGCGCTCGGAGATTCTTGATCGCGTGGCTCTTTGGTTGAATGAGACCGTCACGGACCGCCCTTTCACGGATCTTTATGTCACTGAAGGTGATGGTGGGTTTCCTGGGCCTTGGTTCTTTGCGAGACCGGTTGTTGGTGGGCACTTTGCGTTTTTGACGTTGGAGAGGGCTTGTGGTGGTGGTGGGAAGTGAGGTGAGGAACGTTGATGAGTCGACGTTACTGCATGTAGACGGCAATCGGCGGTGAGGAGATTGGATACTAGATGGATGCGACTATTTCCTAAAGTATCACTCAAAGTCATTGCAATCAGAGCATCATGAGACGAATGCGAACATAAGAAGATGCGAATTTTCACCACCGTTTGTATAATTCGAACTCGCAGCGCTTCGCGTCATGCTCTCATTGATCGAGCGTCTACTTCCAGGGTATGTGAGCGCTGATCCAGCCGTATCCGTCGTAACCGAGGTACAGCTCTTAGCGGTTCAATGTACCTCTCCTGAACAACAATCCTCACACCCACGCGCATTTGCATCAACATTTCCAACGAACCAACACGCGTCTGAAGTTACATGATGCCGTATCCGGTACCCTATGGCGGCCGATTGGCGTGCTGTACTCCGTATGGCTGAGTTGATAAACGCGCTTTGTGCCGAATACGGCGCGCTCAAAGAAAGTGATGCCTCGCGACGATGGCTTCGGATGTTTTCGCCTTTGTCAGAGAGTTCCAGATCAACAAAGGGTCCGCGACATCGAAGTGGTGTCTTTTGGCAGCGAACCTTGGAGTTCTCGAGTCCTACTGAACACCACCACCACACCCTTTGAGCCACCAATTCGAGCATCGACATCTCCGACGAATATCTGGACGACACCATGGTGCTTTATCATGCGAATGGAAGAGTTGTTGATCAACACGATCAATACTTAGACGATGAAGCACGGAGTCTGGCGGATCATTATCGATACATCGAGCAGATTGATATTTGCAACCAAAAGACTGCGGACGCTTCCACTGATAAAGTTGAAATCATTATCGATGAGCAAGAGTATAGAACACTCTATTGTGAGAGGGAGGGACATTGGGAAACCATCAAAAAGTTCAGGCGGAAAACCGCATACTATATTCCAACGACGGTTGATCGCGCTACTTTGAGGAAGTGTTCGACCTTCGCCGATGATCACTTCACATACAATCCGGGGGCTAAGACGCTTCATCTGCCAGTGCGTTATCCGAGACAACATCATGCTGCTCTGGGCGAGTTATCGACTCAGGATTTCAACATCAACTATCATGTTTGCGTTGATGGAAAAAGACTCGCCGAACAACCCGATGATCAAATGGCGTTCATACGACCGGAGGAAATCAACGAATACGTCATTCCATGGCTGCAAAAAGTGCAAAAACAGATCAATCGCAAAGGAGATGAATTAGACAAAGAGGACGATGCAGGACCACCCAAGGAGACGTGGCGCGCACGCCAGCCAACAGGGCCTGACGGTGCTGTCGCCATGGGAATTCCAGTTGCACTTGACGACAAAATCCATCTCTACAACGCTATGCTGCAGCTAGGCCTGCCCAAATTTGTGCAACTGGTAAGAAAGAACTCCTCCGATGCATGCCTGTTTGTAAGACATAGACTGACCATACACCCAACGTTTTAGCCACTCATTGACGAAATCGTCATGCAGATGTACAAAACCAAGATCAATGCGTGTCATCTCGCCACCCTGGAGCATACTGTCGGGCGCTTTTACTCCAGGGGTGTTGCTGTCCTTGACCCAGTTCTTTGTCATTTCATCGGAACGTATCCTCGCAGGACCTTGCAAGATCGCAGAAATGTCAGACCTCCACCTGAAAGCGATACCGAATCATCAGATGATACGAACAAGACTAGCGAACAAGCGCCAGAAGAAGCGCAGGGTACTGATACTCAATCGGGAGAAGAACTATCAGCATCAGCACCAGCACCAGAACCATTTGACTTCAAGAACTCAGAGAGAAAATATCTCGGTTACCATCCTCAACCTGCGGGCCGTGAAAAATTCCCTAAAGATACGTATCTTCTTCCCCCTGAGCTGCCAGTCATCGGTCATAGTATAAAGCATTGGTCCGGAGTCCGCAAGAATGGCAGCACAGCTGCGGCTCATAACGGCTTTCCTCTCAACATTGGAAAATATAAGAAGTTCATTCGGAGGAACGCGACGGATGTGATCGATGTCAATGACTATTTTGAAGAAGAGACAAATCGATTGGCAGATCGATCCGACTACGAAGATAACGGCCCGGGGGAGGGCAGTCGATGATGTCTTCCTGAAACCAAAGGCTACTTCCAGTCTGTTATAGTTCTTCTTAAGACTCAATTCTCATCTATATGTCACTGGTAACTTGATACCTTGTCTTCTCCAATGTTTCATCTACATGCTTCTATCAAGATACAGTGAACTTCTTTTCCATACAAACATAACCTCGGCAGCGACGGGAACAAAAACAACGGTGGCGACAATCTGACCAAAAGTCCATTGCCCGTCCGGGAAGCTCCCACCAGCTGCTCGGATCATGACACTTTGTAGTTGTCGGAGCCGAAAGAACGCCCAAAATTGCACAACAAGTGCGATGGCGACGACAACGTCGATTCCCAGTTTTGCATACAATCCAATAATGCCTCCATTGAACGTAGAACAGCACTTTGTTAACCAGGTTCGTTTATGATCTATGTCCTCCAAAGCAGAGGAAAGGATTTTTGAGACGACCACAATGGACAACAGCAGATAGCTGAGAATGCCGAACGCCGTGGTGAGATTGCGTTCACGTGAGCTGATAGTGCTAACGCCTTCGAAACAGACGCTTGCGATCACGCTCCATTCTTCGAACGTTATGGAGGTGTTTGGCGAACTTCCGATCCGGCTTTCGCCTGCATTGGTCAGACAGTGTTCCCTTGACATAGTGTCGCCACTCACCAAAAGTCCCTCCCATGCGAGAGAAGAAAGGGCAAAAGCCCATAGCCCAGCATATCACAAACAGGACAAAACGTTGTCCTCTACGAGCATCGGAGAGAAGCCCGGGGTGTCCATTGGCGCCGCTTCCTGGCTCTTCATATCCGTCTTGTGGAACATCAGTACCACCAGACGACCGTCTTCTACTGGTATCTATTGCGTTGCCTTCCAAGAACATTTTCGGTCGCAACACCATTGGAAGGAGAGGCAGAAGCGTGAGCGACGAGACAAGCCAAGCAATCTCGACCGTGAAGCCACCCATTCCAACAGCGTTTACGCCAAAGTCAACCCCAGACAGTGTAACAATGCTAGCAGTTTGGATCGCAAAGGTAAAGAAGATGGCGTTGTCGAAAAAGGTTCTTGTGGCGTTCGCAACCAATAGCCTCCCGATGGTTGGATGGCCTTTTGCGCTTCGTTCAAACCACATCGATATCGCTACGAGACATGCGCATATGAAGCTCTCAAGGATATATCCAATTGCCATGCCGATGCCACTGATGTCTGGATTCCCTGATCCCCAAAGAGCCCCGCATACGTTAGTTTTGCAATCCTTCACAAGGCTGAAATCCCCGCCCGTGGCGTTGCGGAGTAGATCGATGTACGCTGCGAAATCCGTTCGAGTGGAAAGGGCAAGACAACCCGATGGGTCCATTTTGGAAAGCTGTCAGTATGAAGAAGCAGCGAAGGAAAAGCCAGAACCATTTATTGTAACGACCAAAAGAGGATGCCAGCTTTGACCAGGCTGAAGTCTGCCTTATCGCTCAGCTGAACCACCCCTGCCGCCATAAGCTTGGCCCCCAAGATTGAGGGTTATTTTGCACCAGCGCCCTATCGCGATTGAGCCCAACAAACATAAACCAAACGTTTCCTCTAGGTTGAGCTTAGATCGTTGTTCTCACTTTCCTGCTGGCGAACATGAAATCGTTTCTTGTATAGGTACTTGCTCATCCTGAATCTCATCACAATGACAAGCGCGCAATTGGTAAGAAACCCGCAGGTTTCTCCTACAAGGCTGAGACTTACTCTACAGCTACAGCTTGATACAACGCTCATCAGCTCTCCATCATCAGCATTCGACTCAAGCATGTTTGCAGGGACAACTCAGTTCAATGGCCAACCATCAGTATTCGTTACCATAACGCGACCTTTCACAACAACAACATCAACATCATCGACGTCAACAGACGACGTCTCCTCTTCGCGAGTTCCACCCCCGCCTTCATCGTCTCCGCCTCCAGCTACACCTCCACCTCCGACGGCGGTTCCTCCTCCGACAGCAGTCCCACCTCCAGCCCCTACAGGTGTTCCAACAGGTGTTCCAACAGAAGTCCCATCTCCGCCAAATCCGACCTTTACCCTACCATCTATTCCGGGTAGCGGGTCTGCAGGATTGTCTACAGGTATTAATACATCACACATCATCTAAATGTCTTCTCTATATGCTAATCCCCGAGCAGGTTATACAGTCGGTACCGCACTAGGCGGCTCCGTCGGCGGTTTACTTATTCTCTCGCTGCTTTTCTTCTGGTAAGAGTATAATTGTCGCGTTGTGCACTTAAATACTGACTCATCAGGTTCCGCGCGCACAACAACAAAAAGAAGAAACTGAGGCTATCTGTTAGTAGCAGATCAGCGCAATCAAACAAGCTTGAAGAAGAGAAGATCGAGGATGTCAAGGCCAACGGTGTTCCACAGAGGAAGCCGCTGCCGAAGAACCCTAATGCTTCTGGAACAGGGACAGGAACTCATGTGAGGAAGCTAGACGGCGGAAGATCTCTGAAGTCTACCAATACACTGTGAGATGGTCACACATCACGTCGGTTCGTTAGCGGGTTGAGCGGCCTAGATCACGCAATTTTGTAACATTTTATTCTTTTTTTATTTATTCTGGTAGAACTGTCAAACATATAGAGGACTGATAGCTAAGTGTTACGAGCACATGTGCGACCCGCGCAGTGCCCGGTTTGAACTTCGCATTGATGCAAATGGACTGATGCTGCCTCGACTATCTTCGCTCCTCTTTCTCGAAACGCTCTCAAATGTGTGCCTGGAAATAACACATGGGTATCGCAGATGAGCCGCTCGTACGTGAACAGTACATGCGCTGTGTAGCTTTGGGATGGATGGCGACTTGACTGTGATGACGCGCTTACAACGCATGCCCGTTAGGGGGCTCTCGGTCATGTGTAGTCTGCCTTTGCCCATAAGACTCATCCGCTAGACCATACAAGTGGTGGGTATGGTGAGAGAGTGAAGGGGCGCAGCTTTGGCGCTTGGTTGCGTCTTTTGTGTGTGATTTGGCGTTTTTCGGCTTTCATCTTTTTTTTTGGTGAGGATTTCTTGCCTTTCAGGCAGAGAAAGTCTCAGATTCATCGCGTGCATATCGCGAAGGAAGAGGTCTGAGCGTTGCTCATGCTGGCAGCGCCTTCTCTGGTATAATGGGGTGGCATGATCTCCATGTGTTGGGCTTCTGCTTAGCAAGATCGCACCGTATGCTTGGTGTTCGTGACCAATGCCAACGTCTTGGGCAATAACTCCATGCTGTGCACACGAAGACAGCGAGCTGCTCCTCTCCTTACTCCAGAAGGCCAATCGTACTGGATCCGTCCTATACCTCGCCATCAATGACGACACCCAGGTTAGCGGTGTCACACTGACTGGTATAGTCTCCGTCTCTTTCTTTCTGCTCAATGTCCTTGCAAGAGCTTACGACCATCTCACTCCTGTAGACTGTGTGATTGCAGTAAGGTTCAGGATACTTTTGTTCCCAATTCAAAGCTCTTCGTCCTCTTTGTTGTGATCTGGGTTTTGGTTTTGAGCTTCATCATCCTCGTGGATGTCGGTATCGTCCCAATCTACCTCAACATCGTAGCGTTGAGATACTGTAGACGGAGTCTTGCACGGTCGCACTGCTTTAGTAACCGGTACTGTAGGCTCATGTGAAGATCCTTGGTATCCTCCAGGTCCGTCACGACCTGGTGAGGCCTGGTGAGGACTCAAGGACGGATCCATCGCCGTCTCTTGTGTCACGACAGACCCAACGTTTGCGACTTGTGTAGGTAACGTGGCATCGATGGTTCTTTGAGATACATCGTCTTCGCCAGTATCATCGCTGCTGCCCTTATCCGCAATTTGTCCAAATTGGGAGTTGGGACTGTCATGACGCGAAATACTGCCATCCTTGACCTTCGACGGTGGCGATTCTCCCTCTTTTGGCGAGACACGAGGACCTGGAGACTCAGCATGCATCAGAGACTGTAATGAGCTTTCCGCTGCAAGCGCAAGTTCAGACAAGTAATGTTCGCCATTGCTGCCAGGTGTCGCTGCTCTTCCCGCGGGAGATGCCAATGTTGGTGTGATCGGCGGGAGTGGTGCCGTGGATGCATAAACTATTGCCATTCCCCGCGTTGCAGCCGTCAACTTACGCTGCGCCGCTTGTTGAGCTGCAGCTCGAGCTGCGAGAGGACTATAGTCAAATGTTGACCAGTCAATGATGGTAGGGTCGTGTGTGGTCGTAGTTGTCTCTTCTGGGTCTTTGAGCCAGTCTATACGACATGTTTTCGAATAGTTGAACCAACCAACAACGCCATCATCCTCTCGCTCACCGTAGGCCATTCGGGTCTCCGTGCCGGTGTTGTGGTCGATGTCGAAAACGCCATGCTCGTATACTACCACGGTAGAGCTGTGCGTGATTGAGATGCAGCCGCCTTCTTTGAAGGCTGCACTAGGATGCCATGATTCCAACACACGCCTGTGCTCCGGCTTGGGCGTAACTTGGCTCATCCAAGCGGGTTTGTTCCCATGGAATCGTACTGGCTGCATATCCGGAACTCCGATGAGCTTGAGGTACTCTGCTGCTAGAAGAAGTCCTCGCTCGGTAGCGACGTGAACCTTCCCATTGTAGAGATAGAGATCACAGTCGCCGATGTCTCTAGTTGGCTCGACTTTCGAAGCATCTTTGCGGCCAAGGTCTTCGGACGTCCAGAACTTCTTCCTGGATAGGCGAAGCGCTTCCTGCCGCAGAACAAGCATCTTACGACCAAAGACATGGATCTCGTTGTCATCAGTGAACGACCGTTTCAGCCTGTCTGAAGGCTTATCCATAACCTCGAATGGGTACTGATGTTCAATCGTATGGGAGCACAGGAGGGGTATGCTGTACACGTCATAGTCGACAAAGGTAACTCCTTCCTCTGGGAAGCGATCCTGATCAGCGTACAAGTGGTGATCATCCAGAGACTTCTTGATCTTAGTATTCCGTCTCTTTATAGCCTCGTGGCTCGCTTTGGCCTTTTTGCACGAAGCTACCTCGGGATTCTCTAACTCCACGAACTTCCGCTTACTGCGCTCATCCGGCGGTGTAACTGTTTGGCTTGGAGTAGAACTAGGCTTTGGCTTTGTGCCACCTGCGATGCTTTCGCCAGCCTTTGCGTCTTCCATCTTGTGTATTTCCTCCCCTGCGCTCGGTTGCCGTGACTTGGGGGTTGAGGCGGCGCCCTTGGTGACGGATGTATCGGGCAGAATCGTGGCCGCGGTCTTGGTGCTAGCATCGAACTGCTTTAGCGAGCTGGCTTTGGTGTTTTGACTTGGGGTCCGTGGAATAAGAGCCTTTGCCTCCGGCTCCGCTTCGGGTGCTGTGATCTTACAACCGTCTTTGACACCGTGTCTCGTCTTAGGGCTCTTTAGCTCATGAGAGACTGTCTCCAATACAGCAGGTCTGCTAGAAACAACAGGTTTCTGTTTGAACTTGTCATCACGGAGCTTCTTCCTGTCTTCCTCGGTCATATACTTAAGGTCAAGTAGGCTAGGGACCTTCTTGCCTGCATCAATGCTTTTCTCCAGTGCTGTTGCGCGTACATGTTCTTTTCCGTGAGCGATCATTGTCGGCTGCGTTTCTCCAGGTCCGCCACGCGCTTTCTTCTTCGCATGCAGTCCATCATCTTCAGTTGCCTCTTGTTTACGCTTCCGGGAAACCTGTCCAGCGGCGTCGGTAGTCACACTTGCGCGGAGTTCTTGGACCTTGATTGGCCTATCGCGGATCTCTCTGGCTGGGGGTGGGGTGCGCGAGCGCCTGTTGTCTCGATGCTTGGATTGTTGCTCGCGCTGAATGTCTCGCCCTGGCGACTTGCTCCGCCGGTCGCCATGTCCACGCCTGCCACCGTATCCACGTGCACCATTACGGCCGCGTTCTTGCTGTTGTGCTTGGTCTTGGTGTTGAAGTCTTTCTTTTGCCTTATATTGAACATGGGTAGTCGTCGCAGTCTTGGGGTGAGTATTGTGGGCGCCGTCCGTCTTTTGGTGCGAACCGCCGTTGCGTTTCCTGGCCATAGTGTCGATTATTGAGGACAGCAAAAGATCTTTGATTTGATACGGAAGGTCGTGTGTAGAGGAGAGCAAGTCAGACTAGTGAGACAAAGGTATTGTGTGGGTCCATTGTCGCGCTAATACCACGTGCTCTAGTATTGTCTCTGTCACCCACATTCACTACGGCCATACTTTCGAAATGTCCTTCTCGAAGGATAGTGGATATTCTATGAGCCGCCAGGAACGAGTTGTACCGTTGTGCGCGCATAGTTGCGTCATCACGGCGTTGCAGGCGCTGTTGCCAATCATGGCAGGCAGGCGCAACCTATAGTGAAGAGCCATATTTTTCCGTCGCAGCATTGCAGAGCCTCAATCCGGCTTAACAGACTTACAAAGCTTAGAAACAACCTCGGAACGAAATGCTGCCGCTACACCATCGAGACGACCAAGCTACAGTTGCAGGCGCACAGCTCGAAGAGAGCTTCGGCAACATAGACATAGATACTACGGCTTCCTTCGACGATAGCCCGAAGCAGCCATTTGGGGATCTTTCGTATGAAATACGCGCTCTTCTCCTGGAAGGTCCTCCAATTTTGCTTGTCGCGTCTCATTCGGGTGCGCCATCGGACTACGCCCACCAGTGTTCTGCTGCCAAAGGTCTCGTTTCCCTCGATCGCAGTCGTCAGATGACCGAGCAAGCCGAGAGCGGCCACCGTCCATATGCCATCGATATTTCGGTTTGGGCGCTCGCTGCGGCTTCGCAGGCGATTCGAACCGGCTATGAGGAATACCCAGACGTTTCGCAACTCGCTCTTGCCATGGGCCCCATCTTACCAGGTTACGCCATGTGTGTCCTCGATTGGCTTGTTCGGTGTTTCAGAAGCAAGACGACGACATCTTTCATTCCCGATGACCCAGAAGTCGATGGCGAAGATAAGTGGTATTGGCTGTATAGCTATGCGGCGATGCGCGCTCTCGGTATTGACGCTGTGGAAGATCTGCAGCCGTTCATCAAGCGTCTTATTCATCATGAAGGCCTCGTCGCGGAGATGACCAGCTACCTACGTCTTCTGAGAGCCCTGCAGCCTTCGGATCCAATCGTCACGTATCTTGCTGTAAGAACAGCCAGGCAGATGTTGGGAAATGCGCACGTGTTGTCGGAGGCGCAATGCGACGCCATAGGCGCAGCACACCCGCATTTCGCCGCGCTCGTCAACGAGCGGCTGCAAAAGTCGAAGTTGTGATCTCTTGTCGAACACCAGGCAGCGGTGAGGGGACGGGTCCCAATATAATAAGCAAGTAAACCTCATTGCTGGTTCAGATATCTGGTCGAAGTAAGGCGGGGTCCCGGAGCTCCACATGCTAAACCTTTTCGGAAAGGTTCGCCTGGGGACAAGGGACCCATTCAACAACAGATATTCCACATCACGTCCACCACCTCAACCAAATGCGCAAGTCGGTCAGCTGCGCAGTGCTCTCACACCGCATCGGATGAGAGAGTCCATCTTCATGACAAGTTTATGTTGTTTCTTGTCAGCCCTAGCCAGGCCCCAGTATGGCCGTTTTTTCCTTTTAATCCCCTATTTCGCTAGAATGTCAATGCATCGGCTTGTTCCACGGTACTGCCAGATGATTCGCTCATGCTATTGAAATGTCTCAGGATTTGTTCGCTGGACCGCATCTTTTCCTGTCTTTCGTCGCTCATTTTGTCTTCATCGCAACACAAGCGTATTTCCGATTATGGAAATGCTGATGTATCGTTCGCGGCAAACCCCTTCAATAACTCTCCACTGACATTGATGCCTGCATGCCAAATGTTTCATTGTTTCTGTCGTTTGTGTTGGGAAAGTTGACCGCTTCCTCTCTTCAGCTAAGGTTGCTGTCACCGCCAGGTGTGATGCGTGTTCCGCTCCGGTCATGGTGCTGTCCGGGCCAACGTTGAGGGACACCAGAGGAGGTGAGGGCTCGGAGACTCTGCCGGCGCATTCATTTGACAGTCGCGCTAACACATCTTAGCTCAATGCGGGAGGGTGTTCCTGCATGGATCAATATTACACATCCAATGTTGGGACTGCATGGTACAGTGCTGCAGGTACTTGCTACCAGCACACAACGCTTTGATTCCATTTGAGAAGGCTGAGGGTAGTGCCAAAGTTGGTGTATAAGAGGGGCAACATCCTCACTCTAATCGAAGCACAACATCAAGCATCACTTTCAACACATCACCTCACCAACAACCACACAATCATCATCATGCGTTTCTCCCAAATCGCCACTCTTCTCTCCGTTGCCGCTGCGGCCAGCGCCCAGTACACCTACAACATTACCCAAGCTGAGAAGCATGGTAACATGGAGAAGTACAAGTGCTTGTATGCTAAGCCCCTCCGAAACTTCCTTGGTCTATGTACTAATGCGATGATGCTAGGGACAACAAGAAGCTTAGCAAATGGATGCCCAAGTGCCTTCACCAGTGCCAGGAGAAGGCCAACCATGCTGACGGCTGCGCGCCCGATGACTTTACTTGCCATTGCATCAACTACAGCGTCTACTCTGCCGTGAGTACCATGTCCGTCCTAGTCCCAGCTGCAGCACTATTCTGACACAGTAACAGGCGATCGAGCCATGTGCTTTCCCTGCCGCCCTCGGCGGTAAGGGTACTTGCTCGTTTGAGGAGCTCGGCAAGGCACGCCCCATCGTCCAGGACATGTGCAACTTCTTCAACGCCACTCTATACGACGACTACGCGGAGTGCGACATAGAACTGAGCGAGGAGAAGACTTACATGATCCTCGCTGACGAGGAATTCGGAGAGGTCACTTACTAGATGTGGACGAGCAAGGCTTGAAGTGATAGATAGGAGTATTAGACTTAGGATTGAACTTTAATAGACTTTCATCTTCTCAAACATCTTACTTACAGTGGGACATGTCTATGCAGTCGTAGTCACTGGCGTCGTTACAGCTAAGTGATTTCACAACACCTGACGTTCGTCTCACATGGTGCCTTCACGACCGCCGCCCCAACTACTACAAATAGACTTCTCGCGCTGCAACAACCGAACCACACTCACACCCTCACACTTCCACACTCTCACACAACCATAACCACTACACCCAATACACGCATCTCTCCCAACAACCTCACTACAATGCCAGAGACATACGGCGAGTACGAACAAGAAGGCGGTCGTCGTGGCGGCGTCTCCGGCCAAGGTACCGGTAGCGGTAACAAGTAAAGAAGTCTAGTCGTTTTCGACCTTACTTCAAATAGAAATAGATAATGCCTGGTTCTCATCGGCGAAAAGCGCATCGTGTACACGAGCGCTTTGCTGCGTTGTCATGTGTTCGCGCACATGATGATTTTATCGGTATAATGTAACCTGGACATTGTTTTGATTGTTATCTATGAGTTAATAAGCTGAACTGTGATTCCTGAAAGTGGATAGACTGCGTGATGCCTAGACGTGATGTTGGGACTGGTATAGACGAGTGGGAGTCGATGATGTAGGTCAAGACATGACGCCGTGACTATTGAACGCGCTAGGAAACCGGACACGCGCATTCAGGAACTCATTTCGCCGTGTGTTGTTCCGATGCCCAGGAGATGTTGCGTTTCTAAGATGAGGGATGGGGAGCGGCGCGTGGCGCGATTCTGACTAGCGTGCTTGGCATGAACGTGACGCGCGCGTGTGGCACATGGATCCTTTCGCGCGAAAGTTCCACCAACACCTTCACGTACCTACGTTATCCTCTGAGCCTACTGACTTTCTGTTCTTTCCGGACGCGTCGCGTTGCCCTGCAATACAGCAGCTCCGAAGCCGCCCAGTCTGCCAGATTCGACTGGCCCTTCCGGTGGGCGTGCGCCATGGCAATATCTACTGGCTCAAACCCCATTCCTTCACATACGACCATAGGATCATGAAAATTAGGCTTCCCGTCCGCTCAGCCATATACAAGCATGATACCGGCGGATTAGTAGTTAGGTGGGTGACCACTAGCGAATCCCCGCTGTTGTATGTTTTTGATCTTTTTTGCCCCAGCTAAGGACATGCGGCAAGCTCTCGAGCGGTGCCTGTTGCGGGCATCGCTCCCGTTCTTGCTGGTCTCGCAGTACCAGTCACGCATCTATCACCCCAAAAGGCATCAATTCGGCTGTCTCTACCCCGAGTTTAATGGCAAGCAGGTCTTCGCCTTTCCACAAAAGTGTCGATCTACCCCACCTCCACAGTAGCTCCACTCCTGCCCATCACACGCGAGGCTCGCCAAGGACGCACCAGCCTCGTTCAGGACGACCTACATTACGTTCTGTGGACACCTTCTTGCGTGCGGGCTAGCCAACGGGTATGCTACCGCAAGTGACATGGTGAGCCGGGTATTGGACGGGCCACGGCCCGTTGCGGTCAAGCCGTAGCCAGGTACCTGGTCGAGACATGCAACTACAAAATGCTTGCCCGTCGGATGGTCAGGGAGAAAGTCAAGCCTCCCCTCTGGTTGCGACTTCTTCCGCTCTTTGCACCATCTCACAATGTTTGGGGCCTTCATTGGCCTTGCTGGCCTTGTCAGCTATGCCACCGCCCAAAGCGACTCTGTCAAAGTCAAGTGGCTTGAGGATACACCTGAATACCTCGCTGGCGTGACATTCGGCCTACCGTGGCCTCGAGGACAGCACCTTGCGAACGCAACAACCTTCACCGTCTCTGGGGATGCGGGACTTCAGTCATGGGTAACAGCATACTGGCCTGACGGCTCGCTGAAATGGAGCGGACATGCACTAGGAGCTAGCGAAGCCCCAGCCAGTGAATATACAATCACAGCTTCTGGTGCAGGAAACTCCTCGACTTCGCTATACAAACGCCAAGGCAATGGCATTCAAGTTACTGACTCTGGCAATACTGTCGTGGTCAGTACCGGCAAAGTCTTAGCAACCTTTCCCAAGTCGGGCAACGTTCTAGTGTCCACCATTGAAGCCGGCGGGAAGACGGTCGGAAGCAACGGCCACCTCGTCCTACGCTCTCAAAACGGTACTCCTGATGACGACGAAGATGGCAAGCCAACCGGCATCGATTACTTCAGCTTCACCAGCAAGATCTCGAACGTCACTGTATCAGAGGAAAACACCGTACGATCATTAGTCACAGTCAATGGCATCCATACTATCGACGGAGATGGCGCTCATGACGACTGGATACCCTTTACCGTTCGGTTTTACCTCTACGCCAACTCCGAAGCAATTCGGGTCATTCACACCATCATATACGATGGAGATATGTACAAAGATTTCATGTCGGGTATCGGCATTCGCTTCGATGTTCCCCTAGCTGAAGAGGAGTTCTACGATCGTCATGTCCGAATCGCGGGTGTTGAAGGCGGAATGCTACACGAAGCTGTCAAGGGCGTTACTGGTCTGCGTCGCGACCCAGGTGTCGATGTTCGATCGGGTCAGTTCAACGGCACCGTCTTGCCACCGAACTCTACATGGGATCAGAGGGTGACTACTCGTCTACAGTGGATCCCAACGTGGAGCGACTATCAGCTTACACAACTCTCTCCAGATGGCTTCAACCTCAAGAAGCGCACGAAGGCTGGCCAAAGCTGGGTCAAGATCCCTGGAGGCACGCGTTCAGGTGGCCTGGCATATCTCGGCGGCGCTACGGTTGGCGGCCTTGCCGTGGGCCTTCGCGATTTCTGGAAGAAATATCCTACCAGTTTGGATATTTCTAATGCTGCAACTGATACTGGATCAATCACCATGTGGCTATACAGCCCTCAGGCAGGGCCCATGGATATCCGCCCATACCACGACGGCCTTGGACAAGACACCTACAAGCAGCAACTAGACGCTCTGGATATCACATACGAAGACTGGGAAGGAGGCTACGACACTCCTTACGGCCTTGGCCGCACAAACGAGCTTTACATCTACGCGTTCGACAAGACTCCATCCGCCGAACACCTTGCAACGCTCACCAACTTCACCAATAACCCACCCGTTCTCATTCCTGAGCCAGAGTACATGCGCGACACCAAAGCGATTGGGTCTTACTGGGACGTGCCCGGTGCTGTGGACTCTGCGCAAGCACAAACTATCGAGAACAACATGGACTTTCTGATCAAGTTCTACGAAGACCAAATCGAGCAGCGCCGTTGGTACGGATTCTGGGATCATGGAGACATCATGCATACCTATGATAATGATCGTCACCAGTGGAGATATGACGTCGGTGGCTATGCTTGGGATAATTCGGAGCTGTCGCCTGATCTCTTCTTCTGGGACTTTTTCCTCCGCACCGGTCGTGCGGATGCCTACAAAATCGCTCATGACCAAGTGCGCCACGGAGGCGAGGTCGACTCGTATCATCTTGGCAACTTTACTGGGCTCGGGACGAGACACGGCGTCCAACACTGGAGTGACAGTGCCAAACAGGCTAGAATCTCAACCCCAGTCTATCGTAAGACATTTTACTACATCTCCGGCGGCGACGAGCGGACTGGCGACCTGGTAAGTGAGGTCATGGATGCTGATAAAGCCTTCCTTCGCGTAGATGCGAGACGCAAGGTGCGAGAACCGGGTATTATCTACAACCCTGATCCCGAAGCGCTATTCCTAAACTTTGGCACCGACTGGGCTGGTATTGCCCAAGCGTATCTTATCGAGTGGGAGCGTCGCGGGCCTCGCTGGGAAGAATCTCGCAAAAAGCTCGTCGAGTCCATCATGACCTATCCAAAGCTCAAGAACGGATTCGCCACTGGCGAGGCTTTCTACAACAGTCTCACTGGTGCATGGGCACCGCCGCCCACAGACCCGAACAACACTGGCAACGTCACGGTTTCGCATCTGTCTGGTGTCTTCGGCGTCCTTGAGACTATTGATCAGCTTATGGACCACTTCGGTACGGAGCAGAAGAATCTCACTCAACCTTTCTTTGAAGCATTCTTGGACTACTGCTACTATTACGGCGCCGGGAAGGCTGAACAGAAGGCTCGTTATGGCAAGGACTTTGGCACTTTAAGTTTGATGCAGGGCCACTCGCGCTTCACCGCATATGTCGCCAATCATCGCAACAACGCGACACTCGTTCCAAGAGTTTGGTCAGAGTTCTTGGGCGATGGTAGTAAGGATGGGCTTGCACCGGGTGCTCCATGGGCGAGGGTGAGGATCGATGGGAGTGATGCACTTTCTGCTGTCGATGAAGCCACATGGGTCAGTACGAATGCCGCAGCGCTATACGGCGTTGCTGGTATTGAGAATCTGGCTCTCGTAGGCGCGCCCGACGTGAGCACCGTTGGAGGTGGTAACGCGACAAAGGGATCTATGTAGTTGTAGGTACTTGTATTAGCCAGACTTCTTCCCGGCGAACTACCACCACATTCCTGTCTCTATGCATGCTATCTTCCTTGGCTTACTGTCGGCCGAGCGCACGAGCATTGATCACGCTCTGTACGACGTATTCCATTCTAACGGTCCGATAACCCCGCGTGGCACGGTCCGGATAAAGGTCGGCGTCGTGGAGAACACCTGAATCTGTGAGTAGCGAGCGGCATGGCCCCTGTGACGGGTCAACGCAACTTACCCCGTTGCCATCAGGACGCCCCTGAAGTATGGGTTGATGCACAGCAGGCTGCTTCAATACACACCGAAAAAGATACGAGGGGAACACAAACAGAAGGCATTTGTCGCCGTGACATTCCGCTGCCCCCGACCTTCAACCGCCACTTCTCATGATGGGCATCCTCACGAAACCGAGCACGTTTCCTAGGGTATCTGTCGTCATTGGGAATCTCTCTGTAGCAAAATTCGTATCGCTAGCCATTGCGTTTGTTTGTTTGCTCTGATTCGCTTTCTGATACCCGCATATTCTAACATTGGCAGATTGTTATACGATGGGTAGTCAGAGGCATCTACCGAGTCTACTTCCATCCGCTTAGCCGTTTCCCTGGGCCAAAGTATTCTGCTTTTACGCGCCTACCGTACCTCGCTGCCATAGCGAAAGGTGAACTACCGCGACACGTTGCTCAGCTCCACAAACAGTACGGAGAGGTAGTGCGCATCTCGCCCGACGAACTCAGCTTCACCAACCCAAAAGCCTGGCGCGACATCTATGGTTATGGGTCAAAGGAAGTACCAGGCTCCGCGCCGCCCAAGAACTGGAACCGGCAGGGAAGTTCTCCTAATGGAGCCAACTCACTTGTCGCAGAGCAAGACAACGCCGAACATGCACGAATCCGCAGAATCTTCTCTCCCGCGTTCTCTGATCGAGCGCTCGTACAGCAGTCACCGCTATTTACCAAGTACGCTGATCAACTCGTCCGCAACTTGAGAGAAAGTGTCCAAGCGAATGCGGTCGACCTCGTCCGAATGTGTACGTGAGATCTATGTAAAAACGCATGTGAGACAAGCACTGACTTTGTACAACTATCTCTAGACAACTTCACCACTTTCGACGTCATGGCCGACCTAACATTTGGCGAACCTCTACATCTGCTTGATAACTCAGAATACAATTCCTGGATCCAAGTCATCTTCAAAGGCATCAAGCGCGGCACGCTAATGAGCATCTTCTTCAACTACTACCCGCTCGCCAAGTTCATGCTATTTACATTGTTAGGTAAACGGATTGCGACATTTCGGAGAGAACATCACAACTACACCGTAGAAAGGGTCACCAAGCGACTTGAAAAGGGACGAGTGTCCGAGGGTGTCGATCTGTGGGACCTGGTTCTCCAACAAGAAGACAAGGGCAAAGCGGGTCTAACCCGCCCTGTTATGGATATGAACGGCGAGTTGTTCATGCTAGCTGGGACCGAAACGACAGCGACGTTGCTCAGTGGACTGACCTACTTGCTTCTGGCCCACCCCGAGTCAATGGCGAAGCTCGTGAATGAGATTCGGACGGCATTCAACTCATCAGACGACATTAGTATGGAAGTCACCGCTGGCTTACCCTATCTCAATGCGTGCATCAAGGAAGCGTTCAGACACTATCCTCCTGTACCGATTGGTTTGCCGCACCTCACTCCTGTTGAAGGTTCGACTATTTGTGGGCATTATGTACCTCCGAATGTACGTTGTCATCTCACTCACATGTTGTCAAACAGCTGTCTAAGACTCACACCCTATAGACGAATGTCGCAGCTTCTCATCTGGCAATGTACAATTCTCCCGACAACTTCAGACTCCCCGAATCTTTTATCCCCGAGCGCTGGCTCGGCGACCAACGCTTCGCCTCCGATGAACGCTCGGCTCTTCAACCGTTCCATGTAGGGCCAAGGGACTGCCTAGGCAAGAAGTAAGTAACGCTGCCCCTTAGTCTCTGGAACATCGCAAAGATACTTACATGTTATTACTAGCATGGCCCTCCACGAAATGCGCCTCATTATGAGCAAGGTGCTGTTCAACTTTGATCTCGAACTACTTCCTAAATGTCAGAATTGGATCGCACATCAAAAGATATACTCGTTGTGGGAGAAGATACCCTTGATAGTTAAGATTAAGGATGCAGTAGTTGTGTCGACATGACCGCGCCATCGACCAAGTCATACGTCAAATGATAGCCTGGAGGCTCTATTGAATAGAAGCAAGACAAGACTCTTTCACTTTCACTTCAGGCGTTGCCTACAGTCTATATGTGCTGTACGCTAGTACTATTACAGCGTTTGTCTCACCTCCGCACTGACGCCGTCCCCCATTCGCAATCTTTGCTGCACCCATCTCTCATATTTGACCTCTCCGCCAGCACCCAAGCGCTTACAAGACAAACTGCCATCTACACGGCTCATGGAATTCGCAGCCACGGCGATGATGGCCGCCCGACACTCCTCCTTGACGATCAAAACACTCAGCAAGGTCCCCGACGTGGATATGTACGAAGATGTCATCCAGTTAACGACACCACTCCAACTCCAACCACCTGTATCTATCTACATCAAAAGCGACTCACCATATCGGGTCACTCTCATAAAGGGCAACAGTGTTGACGTCGACGCTGGCCCCCAGTCCATCACCAAGATCACGTCCTTCAGGCCGCTCATCATCGCGTCGTCAGCGTCGCTCAAGTCCGCATTCGAAGAGGGGTGGAACAGGCTACCAGCCGAGCTGAAAGTCCTAATCCTTGAGTTTAATGTGAAAGCCGAGAATCGCGTCGGCGCACGCAACAAGGCAGTCTACCTCCCAATCGTCCATTGTCGGCTGCTTCCCCACCTGACCATGACACGCGAAATCGCCGCAATAGCGCGAGAGATCTTTTGGACCAAGAACGAGTTCCATCTAGAGCCGTCATATGAGTCTGTCGTTATTGGAAATGGAAGGTTGGACACCCGCCTCTACTTCGCCTATCCACCACAAGCATCTCACCATCTCATTCGACGGCTCGCTGTGCGCATCCGCCCGATGAGGATTGAATGGCTGAAACTTGCTAAGCTTGCGAACGGTGACTACGGTTTCGCTGCGCTTCGCAACATCGTTGTCGAGTTGGACATGCGGATTGTGCACTTGACCAGTGCGAGAAAATTTAACGACTTTCTCACTAACACGATCGGCGATGGGATCGATTTTCACTGCGCTGGCAATTTGAAGTTCCTTGCTCCACAGAAAGCCAAGGGCAGGTCATCAGAGGTTTCGTTCGAGGATGTGAAGAAGATGTTCAACGGCAAGATCAGGTTCGCGGTCGAGAAGACCAAGGCGGAAGGTTAAAGAGACTGTCGTTGCGTCTAGTAGGAGCCACAATGGGTGACGGTATCGTGAGAGCAGAGCATGGTTTCGAGTTCAAAGAGAGATTGGTGGATTGTGAAAGGAGGGGATGAAGAAGTCAAAACAGTTATAATGGAAAAATGTGAGAGTAGTGATGTTAAGACAACTTCTGTGACGTAGCGATACTCTCACGAATGAGAGAAATCGCAAGTATAGTATACTGTCTGTGACGTAGCCCATCGGGGTGGTCAGTTGCTTTCTTGTATGTTATGCTTAGGTCAAATTATTCACGTATATGGTGTTGAGATCCTCATCATAACTTGAGCACCCGTCTACTCACATTGCCCACTCATCCTGGCTGGCCACACATCATCCGTCTTCGAGTATATGGCCTCTTCATTTGTAGGAGATTTTGCGCTTGTGCCATAGCCATTCCATGTGGACTTATTTAGTCTTCATGGAGCCCTTGCCAGCCTTCGCGTCCTTGACCTTCTGCTTCTCCTTCTCCGTCTGCGGCAAGTCCATGCTCTTGGTGCCGAACTTCGGAAGGAACTTCCCAACCCGCTCCTGGTAGACCTTGTATTCAGGGTACTTGCCCGCACTGAGCAGCTCAGTCAACCAAGTGCTAGCCTGGAACAAGATCAGGTATCCGAATGCACCGGCAAACGCCCAGTTGACAAAGGTCTCAGTCTCCAAGCAGCACCATTGGTACAAGCATACCCAGAAGGATTGTTCGGCTGCGAAGTTGGGGTGGCGCGACCAGCTGAAAAGACCAGTAGTGTTGAAGCCACGGTCTAATTGTTCACGGGTGTATTTCCGGTCGGATGGTACCTTGGCAGTCTTCTGGTATGCATTCCTCGCTTTGTAAAAGTTCCATTGCGCTTGGTCGGCAAAGAACTCGAATACGACGATAGCGAGCATGGAGCGGCCGAATAGGGTATCGTAGGTTGTGATGTCGTTGCCCTTGATGCGGTTGACGAGGAGTAGGATATACGTGGGCGTAGTGATAAGCCAAAGAAGAATCTACCATGATCAGTATCTCGTACACTGATAGTAAGTAGTAGGAGTATACTTACATTCTGCCCTAGCGAGATGAATGTGACGTTGAAAATGAACATGCCGGGTCCGCCGACGTAGTCCTTGACAATTTCCCATCGGTAATCTTCGCTGCCGACCTGATATCCGCCCTTCCGCCAATAGTTGAAAGTCAAGCGAGCACCCCAAATGATTGAGACAGCCATGATATGGTCCAGCTTCATGGTGGGCAGGCCGTTGAGATGAGCCCATAGTGCGTAATGCACGTTGTAGAGGGCAGGCAATATACTCCAGATCCTGTCAACCTGCGAGTAGTTCCGGTTGATCTCGGAGACGGCAAGCACGATCGGCGTGACGAACATCGTGGCAAATGCCAGCGATGACATGAGCGGGTTGGTGTTGACATAGAGGTCTTTCAGTGCCTGCACATCGGTGATGTGCGCTGCAACCTTGTACGGGAGGTCGTAGAACTGTGGCAGGAACGGCTCCACGGTCTTGAAGTAGTCGACGCAGTCGGGCAGCGTCTTGACAAGTGGCAGTGCCATGTCGGTGTATGTACGGGGGTCAGGCATCGTTGCGATGAGGGTTGGTGAAGATGGGGATGTTGCGATGCGCCCCTCGCAAGCTGGCGTTCCAAGGTTAGCGTTTGTTGTGTGAAGCGGACAATGACCTCATGAAGACCTGTTTTCCCTCGTGTCCCCGGCTTAGCGAGCTGCGGTAGCGTCCGTGCGGCTCTCGAACACGCTAGTACGCGCCAAGGTTATCTTGACGCGTCTTCACATGACCGTGAGCGTCTTTCCCCACCATCGCCTCCAGACCCACGTTGAGCTTCTTTCGCGGTTTCAACGGCACTCCAGAGGTATGACTCGGGTATTGTGCGTGGCGGAGAAGCCATCGATCGCAAAAGCAGTCGCAAATCATCTGGGCGGCCAAGCCCGAGCAGTAAGTTCAGCATGTCGCATTGACCTTCCACATATTCCTTGAAAGTTCACACTTGTGTTTGATTGATATTTCGATAGCCGGAGAGTATGACAGATGCGTTCAGCTCATGTCTTGGTATTCGATGCAAGGATACGGGCGCCTTCATGGCCTGACGTGCAGATCGGACGCAGGCTGACTTCAGATAGGAAAGTGTCCGCGGTATCCAGTGGGTCAAGAATTACAAGTTTGATTTCCGCTTCCAAAACTGGGGGCAATGCTCTGTAACGTTCACATGCGTTGCCGGACATATCGTTGCGCAGGACTTCAACGATCGATTCAAGAAATGGCACTCATGTCAGCCCGCAGCACTGTTCGAGGCACCCATAGTGTCAAGCATAGCAGAAGTGGGTGATTTGGTTCGTTCTGACGAAGCTGGCTAATCCATATACAGGACAAAAAGGTTGTAGCGAGCAATATCGAAGCGCAAGCCAGGTGGGCGAACATCTTGTTCATCTGGACTGATTGTGATCGCGAAGGCGAGCATATCGGCACTGAGATTCGTGATATTGCGCTGAAGGCGAACCCAAACATGCAGGTTTGGAGAGCGCGCTTCAGCAATATCGAGAGAGCGTCTGTGACACTGCAAGATGTTCATGAGCATCAACTAACGTGACCCAGGCACGTTATACAAGCCTCACAGAACCCGATCCGCCTAGACGAGAAGCAGGCTCAAGCTGTTTCGGCTCGTATTGAGCTAGATCTGCGGCTCGGTGCAGCCTTCACACGCATGCAGACACTGGCGCTACAAAACATGATTCCTCAGCAGGGCGAAGAGCGATTCAAGTTGATCAGCTACGGCTCCTGTCAATTTCCAACGTTAGGCTTCGTTGTCGATCGCTATCTGCGAGTGCGAAACTTTGTTCCTGAGCCATTTTGGTACATCAAGCTCGCACACAAGAAAGACGACATTGAAGTCAAGTTTAACTGGCGACGAGGTCATCTTTTCGATCGCATGGCGGTCGTCCTCATCTTCGAGAGATGTCTGCTCTCAAAGACAGCAAAAGTGGTCAAGATGGCGAAGAAACCCACGAAGAAGTGGAAACCATTACCTCTGACGACAGTTGAACTACAAAAGAATGGAAGTAGATTTCTTCGCATGACTTCGCAAGACGTCATGAAAGTGGCCGAAGACCTGTATACGAAAGGGTGGATCAGTTACCCTCGTACGGAGACCGACCAATTCGATCGTGGTATGGACCTGCGAGCGCTTGTCGGAAGGCAAACACAAGACGGTCGCTGGGGTCCGTTTGCACAGAATCTCATGAACGGTGGCTTTCATCAACCTCGCGAGGGCCGCAACAACGACAAAGCACATCCGCCCATCCATCCCGTCAACTACGTTGCGTCATCTCAGCTCAACGACAGAGAGCGCATTGTGTACGAATTTGTCGTCCGCCGCTTTCTCGCATGTTGCTCTGAAGACGCTGTCGGTGAAGCCACAGACATCGAAATCGAGTACGGAGGCGAGATTTTCCATGCACATGGCCTTACCGTGATTGCCAGGAACTATCTCGACGTGTACCCATACGACAAGTGGGAGAGCAGTCAAGTGCTCCCCCAGTACACGGTCGGTGAAACGTTCGAGCCT